GAGCAAACTGAAGCCGTGCAGTTTTATGGCGTGGTTGCAGCGTTGGCTCCTTTCTCATATTAGCTCGCACAATGCATTCTGATTTATTTAGAAACCGCCCGATGGTCATTTTGGATTTTGCAAAGTGCCGCGAGTTTAGTACAGGAAATGGACGAATTACTCGCTTTGGACAAAATAAAGCGCTTATCATGGCCCGATAGTTTCGGCTTAGGCCCAGTACTCCGTTTTTCCCGTAATTGTCCGGATTTTGCAGATAAGATCTAATAACGCACCTTGTTCGACGAATTTCTTTTGAAATGTCAGTAGTATTCATACCAGTTGGTTTGAAAGCGGAAATTTTTCCCTTTTTCTCATCGGATAGATGCTTTCCACGTGGCATTGTAGGTAAGCTTAGAGAATATAAACGTTAGAAATTAATGTGTTCACTTTAACCGCACTTTTCGATATTTGTCGTATAATTATGTTACGATTGTGAGGGCACATGAGAATGAGTATGTTAGCAAAAGTTAACTGTACATTCTGCGGCAACTTTTGAGCACGAAAAGAAATAGCGTGTTTTTAAGAGCGTCAATTGCACTTGTAATGTCCACCACTACAACTAGCTTCGAATTAAGAAATCCAAACTTTTATTCTTTACATTTTTCCAAACAAATGTCTGTCAAAATATACTATCATTATTTCATTCGAACAAATCAAATACAATTTCCCGTTCTCGAAGCAACCCTACACGTAAAAAAAATTCTCGCATGCGATATTTGTATATATCCATACTACAATGGGTAGAAAAAACACTTTTTCGGTCAAAACAGTAGTACCAACCATGACATTTTTACTGTATATTTGCCGAAGCCGAGAGTTCAAGACTGGTTTACGGAAAGTAGTTACTTCCTTTCCATTTCAACTGCAGACCAAGTAGGATCCCTTCGAGGGTGTCTAAAATCCAACATTAAAATCTTGCAACATAACTGTAAGTAGTTTACTTAATTTTTTCCTGCTATCAATTCGATAGGTTAGTAAGTTTTCCTTTTTTTTTTTGGTGTTAAAAGTGCATCGTAATTCATTGGGCATGTTAGCGCTCATTTATTAAAACAGCGCTCATTTATTGAGACACTCAAAGTTTGCAACTGAGTCTGCCATCACAGGAGATTGGAAATCATTCATTGCTTTAGCAAACAAAAACCAAAAGAAGGTAATACGCTAAAAGCTCATTTATTCTATACGCCTTTTTTTTACTGCTTCCCTCATTGTACTCTTTGTGCACAGATTCACGATAGCAACAAGAGGAAAACTACTGTCCCGTGCCCAAATCACACCGGTCCTCAGTATCAGGCCACATGCTGGCCACGCGGTCTCGTCGTTTTTTCCTAGCTGCCCAAGCTTAGGAAATTGATACACAGCTCACCCCCCCGGGGCGCTTGGGGGAAAAAAGCCTACATCGTCCATAAAAAAAATAAAAAAATAAAAAAAAATAATATTAATAACACAGGTCAACAACGTTTTGTTCTAGGAAAGTGTAGGGTCATTTTCGAAGTAATTTTTTGCGTAGAATCCGAATCCGGGGTTTAAATTGCTCTATCACGTCAGGATTTTGAGATATCCTAACCTAAAAGTGCAAAAACGCTGTTTTTGCCCATTTTTGAGGTTATGTAGCTATGCAGATTTTGCTCTTCATAAAAAAGTAAACGTGGTATTTTAAAGTATAAGTCTTCCTCTTTTAAATGCCGTTGAGTTTGCTTAAATATCTTTATTTTTCACTGAGATATCGCATTTTGAAATTTCCATGTTTGTGAATTTTTCGATATTCGAAAATCCATTGAGATAACATGAGACGTGATACGGTCGATTACATTCACAAACATGGAGACTTCAAAATGCGATATCTCAGTGAAAAATTAAGATATTTGAGCAAACTCAACGGCATTTAAAAGAGGAAGACTTATACTTTAAAATACCACGTCTACTTTTTTATGATGAGCAAAATCTTCGTAGCTACATAACCTCAAAAATGGGCAAAAACAGCGTTTTTTGCACTTTTAGGTTAGGATATCTCAAAGTCCTGACGTGATAGAGCAATTTAAACCCCGGATTCGGATTCTACGCAAAAAATTACTTCGGAAATGACACTACACTTTTATAGAACATTCCGAACCCATTTTTTTGCAGACCTGTGTAATTTATGAATTAATTACCAAATTTTTAACATTCCCAAAAGATGCGAAAACTGCATCGATAAGCTCCCCGAAAAGTGCATTTGAAAAAAAAAACAATTCTGATGATATATACGCACATACGTAGAGAGATAAAGTTAAAGCCTGGATATAAAAGAACAATAACAATTGCAAAAAAAAAATAGAAATTAATTAAAATTTGTAGAAACCACGCGGAGGAGGAATTTGGGAATACCTTTATGTAAACTACTGGATATCAAGGAAAAAATCAATTGAAAATTTCGTCAAAAAAATAATTACTAAGTTCAAAACAAAAAAATAGATAAATGTACTGAATATACACTACATGCGGTATCGAAATTCATACAAAACAAAAAAAAAAAACATTTTTTTTATAATTTAAAGTAGTTCCCTTCTGTGGCTTTGCATATGTATCATCATAATCGACCTTAGTGCATTGAAAATTTACACAAAAATTACAATTTAGCTTATAAATTCACCGTAGTGCAAAAGTCACGCGGCCACCCACGTATTGAGAACATACTTTAAGCCGGTAGCTTAAATCCAATCGAACAACACAAAAATAAGAAAAAAGAATTTAAACTAAAACAATTAAAACAACAAAAAAACTGCACGCATAAGTTTTCTTCAAGTCTACATAAACAGGTTAATTCTCCACTGCAACAACCACAAGAAAGGCCTTTCAACGTGAGCTGCAAATCAGTGGGTAAGTTATTATATACACTTTGCTATCAACTTTTCTTTGTTTTATTTTTTGTACACCAGCTTGACATTGGAGCGGATTGAGAAAAGCTTTGCTTAAGATCGTTAAGCACCCGCTCCTGTGTCACCGGCATTTTTCCGCTGGTTTTGTCTTATTTACATTTTGCACTTGTTTTGATTTATCATTTGCCGCGGTCAGCTATGTACATATTTATGTACATGCATGTAAGAACGTAAATGAAATAATATAAATGAACTAAACGGACATATACATGTACATACATATTTACATATATGGATTAACCTGCATACATGCCGGTAGAAGTTTTTTTTTCGTTGATGAACTTAAGTATATAGGCATACATTTAAATTTTGATAGTACTTAATTGAATTAATTTTTCCGGGTTTTTTATAAATAACATAATAACCAGCTTTATATAGAAATTTTAAAAATAATTTTACGAACGTGTGAAACTTTTGGTTCAGAGCACCCACACTAACTATTTGCTTAAAATAAAACATATATTTTTCATGCACTAAAGTACTACGTAAACCATACCTACGAATAATTCCCATAACTTAAATTTTTTATTTCCATAGGACTAATTGTTTTCTTAAGCTTACTCCCTATTGTCTTAGATTAAGTTTGCATTTGTAGAAAATAAATATAATTTTGAAATAAAATACACAGAAAATAATATTCCCCTGAAATTGACTCTGGCTAACATTTGGAACGGATGAGCATGTAAGCGCCATGATTGGCTGAAACTTTTTTTTCCGTTTCCTCGCGGTAGGGGAAACTAATATGTTGGTAACGTAACCGGATATGGGGTTTTCAACAAATGGCAGCCAACGAAAACCATGGATGGGTGGGTAGTGAGCTAGCAGATCGACTTCATCTTTGATTTGCTACATATCCGGCAAAGTTGAGAGAGCCCACAATGAGAGTTCTGAAGAGTGTTTAATTAATTATAATACCGGTCCCTATGCGTTTTTACTATTTAATTCTTTTTGTTCACTTATTATTCTCTTTCTAACTTAAAGTTTTTTTGTTATAAATTCGGGACTCTATAATAAAATAGTGCCGCAGTGTAAAGAGCAAATAGGATAGCCAAGAACCTCCCCAGCCACTGAAGCTAGCCCAGATTCTTGCCTTACAAGATACCACCTTGCAATGTTCAATGCGGTTACATATTTTTGGCGCCCAACGTGGGGCAACGCATGTCTGGAATGTTGCAAGCATTGCTAAAATTTTATCAACTCCTAATTGGAAAACAAATAGTTCCGACTTGTTTTATCTTATTATCCGTCGAATTAAATTTCAATGCCATAGATCTGATTAAGTTCTGGTTTAGAATTCAAGCAATTAATGGAGGATTTTTCAGTACCTGGCTCAAAGTAGAGTAGCTGAACCACTTAAAAGATGTTTGGGGTTTCCGACCAGAGTTTGAAGTTCAAATTATAGCAAGATGCATACAAAACAAATCCCTTTAGATTCAGAGTTTTTTGTGTTAGTTTTATTTTTGTGATCAATCTAGCTGGATTTTTCTACATTATTGGATCTAATTCCAAAGATGTTTGCCGCTAGAAAACGGATTACACACCTTTGTCTTTTTGGTTAATTTTTGCTGGAAATTTAGCTGTCTGGTAAAGGCTCGGACAACAAACCGCAATTAAAGGAACCATGTTTTGTTTTTCCTTTTAGTTATGTTCTGGTTAAGTAAGATTCAGGAAGACAGATTAATTTAAATCTAACAGCAGTTCAAAGACTGCTTGCCGAATTATAATGCTAATTGTCAACCGTTTGTTGCATCTGTGCTAAAATAAATCCATAACCTAAATTTTTTTTCCACTCTTTCAACTCAGCCGTTAAATTACGTTACCGAACATTAGTTACCTGAAAATCATAAGTGAGGAACCGATACATTAGCACAAAAAAAAAAAAAAAAAAATTTTTTAGTAACTGCTTTTATTTAAAGTAACTTATTTGTTTAATACATTTTTTTTACTCTTAAAAAAAAAATGCCGATTACCCGAAGTGCAGAAAACATTCCAGCCCTGTCTGCAGTGGCTAAAGAGTCATGTGACTGTGCCATTTGTCAAGAAACAATGACTGAGATGCAAGACTGTGTAATTACTTTGTGCAACCACGTATATCACCGGGAATGTATAGGAACTTGGCTTGAAAAGCAACACGAATGTCCTTGTTGCAAAAGATTATGTCATGTTAAAGACTGCATACCAATTACCCTCAAGCCGGCTGAGCAAAGCTTTCAAAGTAGACAAGGTACCAATTTTCGAGGGCGCGGGCATAGACAATTAACTCGCAATAGGCGTCGTAATAACCCTCCAAGCTCCCAGTCGTTAATAGAAGGTGATAATAATCAGCAAGTTGCGCAAAGCCCTCGTTCCTTAAACCTGTCCATGCCAGTAGGTGATTCAGTCGATAGGGATGTAACTAACGTCTCCAATACGCAACGTAACCTAAATAATCAAATCGCGACTCTGGTGCCGTAGTGGATTCCGATCGAATATCACAAATGGTAGAAGAAAACGTTAGGAGAATTTTAGCTGGGTTAAATCTCGACCAAGATAGGTTCCAAACCCAGGCTTACATACGCCAATCTAACGACCCTCGTTACCTTGCTAATAGTAATAATATTAATAACCCGAATTGTTCGAACCTTCGTACGGATAAAGTGATAAATATAATACAGCATTGGAATATAAAATATAATGGATCCTCCAAGGAATTAACTGTAGAAGAATTTCTCTATCGTGTTAGAGCTCTCACAGAGATTCACTTGAACGGAGACTTCAATTTACTATGTAACCATATACCTTTGCTTCTAACCGGAAAGGCCCGCGAATGGTATTGGCGCTTTCATAAGCAAAATTAAATTATCGAGTGGCAAGATTTTTGTGCTGCCATACGGTACCAATATAGAGATTATAGGTCCAATTTTGATATCAGGGAACAAATTAGAAGTCGAAAACAAAAGCCCGGTGAGACATTTGAGGCCTTTTATGATGATATTTCTTTGATGTGTGACAGGCTATCTTGCCCCCTAGATGAAGAGGAGTTAATAGAAATAATAACCCGAAATTTAAAACCTCAAATTCGCCACGAACTGTTATATGTCAACGTTCGCTCTATTGCACAGTTGAGAAAACTTTGTCAAATGAGAGAAAATCTTTTAGCCGACGAGAATTTTCGACGGACTCCGATTTCCAGGCAGTTAGCAGAGACTAATTTCAGACGAAATATTTCAAGTATCGAGGAAGATGAGCTTCTGGAAGGGGATGGGCACTTAGAGTCCGCATTGGAAGTCGCTGCATTACAGCAAGCGAATATTACTAAATGCTGGAACTGCTCCCAAGATGGTCATCATTGGCAAGATTGCCTTGCTGAACGCAGCATATTTTGTTATGGCTGTAGTGATCCAGGAATGTACAAACCTCAATGCCAAACTTGTGCAGCTCGTCGTTTGGAAAACTTGAAGAGGGGAGCGGTTCGACCACCTCGTACGCACCCAAACTGAACACTGCCAATATAATTCAAAATAACCCAGATCTGTCGATTCGGATTAACAATTCCGAATCGAAAGTAATTGCCCCTTTCACGAGTCACAACGCTACGAGTAACGACAATACTTTTCCAAGCCACATGTTGCCCTATCATGAAAGACTAAAAAATTATTTAGAAGCCAAGAATAGGATATTTAGTCAGCCACCTACGTTGAAATCCAAAAGAAATACCGCAAGAATACGTAATTATTATAAGAATGTCAAACCGACACGAAAGCTTTTCCTTTCAGCCGTGTTCGAAAATAGGATCGATAATAGATTGTATGCCAAAGTTAAGTTTTTAGACTTTGAGGAGTTAGGCATGCTGGACACCGGTGCCAATGTTTCCTGTGTGGGAACAGATTTGGCGAAAACAGATTTTTCTAAATATTCGCAATTTCATCCCTTAAAGACCACGGTAAAAACCGCTTACGGTAAACCACATTCAGTCAGTGGTTATCTAAGCGCGATTGTCGAATACCAAGCCGTAAAAAAAGCTTTGAAAATTTTTGTTATCCCAACTATTACGAATCGGCTAATTTTAGGAATAGACTTTTGGAAAGAATTCGACTTGGCCCCAGGTTTGATTTCTTGCATATCGGCTGGTCAATTCTCTTCGGTTGATACCATCACTAATAGTGGTGTAGACACCGTTGAAATCAGCAAAGATAAATCTGAGAATACTGACGGCAACTTCCCTCTTACAAAACTGCAACAGCATCAATTAGAATGTGTAAAAACTATGTTTCCGAGTTTTGAAACGCAAGGATTAGGCCGCACGCCCTTAAAAAAGCATACGATTGACGTGGAGGATGCCAAACTAGTTAAGCAACGGTTCTACCCAGTCAGCCCAAACGTTGAAAAACTGATGTTCGACGAGGTTGACCGAATGCTAGACTTAGGTGTTATTCAAACCTCAAGCAGTCCCTGGAGCTCACCAATGCGACTAGTTGTAAAACCCGGTAAAGTTCGCTTGTGTCTTGATGCTAGACGACTAAATGAGGTAACAAAAAAGGATGCTTATCCCCTGCCAAGCATCGAGGGTATTTTTGCTCGCTTGCCCAAAGCCAATATAATATCTAAGCTTGACTTAAAAGATGCGTTTTGGCAAATCGACAATTCAAAGCCATTGACAGCATTCACAATTCCGGGTAGACCATTATACGAATTTGTTGTAATGCCATTTGGGCTGTGTAACGCTCCATCAACAATGTGTAGATTGATGGATGTTATTATCCCCCGGATCTTCGCCATTGTGTCTTTGGATATTTAGACGATCTCTGTATTGTCTCAGACACATTTGAGTCGCATTTATCCGTGTTAATACGAATTGCTGAACAGTTTAAAAAAGCCAACCTAACACTTAATATCAGTAAAAGCCAGTTTTGCGTTACGAAAGTTAACTATTTAGGGTATGTCATAGGAAGTGGTGGAATTTCTACTGACCCCTCGAAAATCGATTCCATTCTGTCATGGCCTGAACCAAAAAATCTAAAACAGGTACGAGGATTTTTAGGGATATGCGGTTGGTACAGAAGGTTTATCGAGAATTTCGCAGAAGTAACGTACCCTATTACCGAAGTTCTTTCTACAAAAAAAAAAAATTTGTTTGGACCTCTGATGCACAAAGGGCATTCGAAAAGTTGAAAATGTTGCTGACGTCAGCACCTGTTTTACAAAATCCAGATTTTTCCTTCATTGCTATGCAAGTAATTACGGAATTGGTGCCGTTTTGGTTCAGTTATCAGATGAAGGAGTCGAAAAACCGATCGCCTACATGTCGAAAAAATTAAACTCTGCACAGAGAAATTACAGCGTGACTGAACGAGAGTGTCTGGCAGCTCTTCTTGCTATTGAGAAATTTCGCTGTTATTTGGAGCTGCAACAATTCGAGGTCATAACCGACCACTCGAGTTTGGTCTGGCTAATGCGACAGCAAAACCCTAGTGGACGGTTGGCACGCTGGACGTTAAAACTGCAGGCGTACAAATTTACTATCTCTCACCGGAAAGGGAAGGAAAATGTCGTTCCTGACGCGTTATCGCGGATCCCTGAAGGAAATGACATAGCCTCTCTCGAGGTAATAGGCCCAGAAATTGATCTTGATTCACCAGCCTTTTCTGACGATGATTATGAACAATTGAAAACCAAAATTGTAACTGAACAAGATAAACTGCCTGACTTGCGTGTTGTAGATAAATTCGTGTATATTCGTACCGAGCATAGCAGTGGGGACCCTTCTCAAGAAGAAGAATCCTGGAAGCTGTGGGTACCGGAAAGCCTCCGCCTGGAAGTTATTAAACGAGCCCACGATTCCGTCATTTCTGCACATGGCGGTATGAATAAAACCATAGAACGCATTAGGCGATGTTTGTTCTGGCCAGGCTTGGATAAGCAAGTGCGAGACTACATACGAAACTGTGAGATTTGCAAAACTACCAAGGCGCCGAACACCACCCTTCGTCCGCCTATGGGTAGCCAAGCCACGTCAGTGCGTCCATTTCAGCGACTTTATGTCGATATTTTAGGACCATATCCACGCAGTCGAAAAGGAAATATTGGCTTATTGATAGTCGTAGATCATTTTAGTAAATTTCTATGGATATGTCCTTTACGGAAGTTCAGTGCCAACGCTATTCAAGAATTTTTATTGAAAGAGATTTTCCACTGCTTTGGAGTGCCTGAAACTTTAATAAGCGATA